GACGACCTGGGTAGCTGAGTGGCTCGCACGCTGTTCGAGAAGTCGCCATTTCTGAAGTCCGATTTGGGTGAGGGTTCAATTCTCGTCTCGGTTCGTTCTCTTCAGGTTCTTTGTTTCAGATACTCCATAATACAAGGGCTGTAGCTACATCTCGGAATAATTTCTGTGATGTTAAATAACATTTATTTTATTTATTTACAGAAGTCGTAAAGCAGTTAATTTACACAAAATTGTAACGAATTATTCAACAAAACCATTTTCATAATTAACTGCATCCATTTGGCAGTTTTAAGGTTAATAGAGAAATGTGGCAGAAGGGTATTTGTTTATATAAGAATCATTCTACATCATAATTTTTATAAATTGTAGTTTTCAGATACGACACCGTCGGCATTTTCATTTAAAAGTAACAGTGGACGTTTACAGAAATCAATCTATTTTACGATCAACATATTACAAAATAGAAGAACCCATACATCGGCCGCTTTATAGTAATGTCTATCATTAAAGTCCCTCAAAATATCCTGGCAGATCAAAAGTTCTCCTTTGCCCTTTGCGAGCATTCCAAATACATTGTTCTTACGGGCAATAAAGTTTAGTTGTTATCTTAAAAGTCAAAATAATGGCAACGTATGAGCATTCATTCGTGATTTACGTTTGAAGAGAAATTGTAATTGGATGCCGGTGCCATTTTTAAACAAGACACAACTAGAAATCTTAATTTATGTCTTGTTTTCTTTACCAAATTTACAAAGTCTAAAAGCATCTAACTAATTTTTCCATAACATTGGGCAAATAAACTGTATTTACAAATCCAGCAAAGAACTTTAAATTCTTAAATCTACACATGAAATGAGTTTAAACAAAAACTTTAATAGTAACAATAGACGTATTTAGATTAAGAGTCAGTTCACAAATTACAAAAACATACAGAATCACAAGCGAGTAGTCGAGATGGTTGGTTAGCATAAGAATACGACCGTGGCGGACGCGGTCACAACTGGCATTGTGCGTCGCCTATTCATCCACTGCTGGCACATAATAACCATTATCCTGCACTCACTCGTTGATAACAGCCATAGCAACCGTGTCAAGGTAGTCACTCATCTTATTGAATACATTGTGCTTTTGTACTAATTTTAATTTAGAAATGTCTATTACCAGAATTTCCGGTTGTATACACAATTAATAAAGAGATTCACTGGGTAATGCGCAGTAGATAAAATGAAAATTTTTAACATATTAGTTTGTCGCATACGCCTTTCAATTGTTTCCAATCGATATAAATGAATCGTTTAAGATCCAGATCATTGAAACAATATTAATAGAAACGTTTGAATTTGATAACATACATTGCTCAGATAATTAGGGATCTGAGCAATGGAAATCTAGCTCAAAGGAAGTATCAAAAACCGCAAACAACCCAAATCCGAATTATTATATAAGAGTTTACTTTTTACATTAACTCGATATGGGAATAGAAACAGAGTCCTCAGAGATGGCGAGTCGACATGTTGAAACCGGCGTGCGAGCAACGTGATCGCGGAGGTCATCATTGGTCTATGGAAAGCGAATGCTTAAAGACGTCATAAATCGTTTCCAACATTCTCAATCAGTAGTTTATTATTAGGAGACATTTTACAATTTGAAGCGGTGTAAAATAACTAATTTCTTCGCTCATTTAAATATGGAAGAGTAACTCATTATAGTCATTGCGTCTGGTTAGGCTTCTAAAATTAACGGGCTATTTTTGACGTGTATCTATTCAATAAAACAAACATGTTTTTTGTGTCAGGGACACGATGGTGGCGTGTTCAGGTCAATTGTGTATAGAGTACTTAGTACCGATGCCTAGATATCTAAAGCCACCATTGTTAGAAGATTTGTTAGATTACATCATCTCCGAGATAATAGTAAAAAAAAATGATAATGAATAATGAGCAAATCATATTTTGTAATAGTATTATGATGTTTAATCATGATATTATGAAACTGAGAATATTTTGGTATAATAATATCATTTTATGTACCATCTGTTTAATAGATCTAGTATGACATAGAGATATAAGAATACACCAATTATAATCTTTAGTTTGCGTCATTCTGATGATGATAGCCATTACACTGACGCGAGATTATTTTTAAAGAAAGTGTAGTTTTCAAGTGTGGCAAAAATAGCTCGGCCGCTTGTGACGTCAGCGCATAATGGAAACTTCAGTCTGACCGAGTACCAGATGCCCGGGGATTATTTATTTAACGTCCGAATGATTAAAGTGTTATTTAAAATGTAATGTAACCGTGAAAGAAATAAAGTAGTAAATAAAAGACTCGATTCAAATAGAATGAAATTTTGGATAACAGAAAGTTAGTTTAACGACTATATATATTAGAGTGTAGGCACACTGTAACAAAGATTCAGACTAATCCTAATATATGAAAGATAAAAAGACCAATTGACCCAATTAATAAAAAATCTAATAACATCAATAATGATTCAAAAGTAGTACAAACCACTTAAATAAAAGTAAATAATGTAAATGCTATATAATATAATAGTAAGTACAAGGCAGTTATTGTTAATAATTCTCGGAATGATGCCGACGATTAGGTCAATAGAGGACGAAGACCTCTGATCGATGCTACACACAAAATGTTTCTTTATAAGAATTTGTGAAATCAGCAGAATTCCGCCTTAGTTACGAATTATGTGGCGTTATTCGTGATACTTAAATAACTCCCACGACATGCCGAGGTGATACAAAAACGAAAGTGATAAAATCTCTCAGGTTAGTTTATGAGACATGGAGAGATCGGAAATTGGTAATTCATCGGAATCACTGAATTCTCAGAAAGCAATAATCACCCTTTGAATTCCTACGACAACTATATTACATATATATTTTCTAAATACGAATGATGCTAAGTACTTATCAAAATTGTCTGCGGTAAAAGGTGTTATTCTAAAAACACAACGCTCCGCAATACATATTTTAAAGTAATTTGTGAGTATAATTCCCCGTTTAGAACGAGGCGTGATGAATCATATATGAGGGAGAATCGAAGGAAATCGACCTGCATACCCCACGAATACGTCATGAAGCATTCAAGAAATTCCAATGAATCGATCAAAATAAAAGTCTATACATTTTACAAATTCGCTTTACATTACGGTCCCATTGGACATTTTATGTTGCTTTCTTTATTTTAACTACAGTTTATTTGAATTTTATTTCCTTGCTACATAATCATTTTGATATTAGCTTCTATCCTACAAAGTTTGTATAAAAAAATCTAAACCAAATTTACGCATCAAAAGAGTGTTTGTTTTAATATTCAGTGAATACATAGGTACTAAGAATGAAATTTAATACCGACCATTATTTGCCACTACCAATGATGTGTTACTATACTGTTTTTATCGCCGATTCGATGTTAATAGATGATCGAATTTCCTTTGTGATTAAAAGTATGTAACATCTACAAGACAGTGTATACCTAGGTACTACTAGTGAAAATTGACATGACACCTGGAGGCCTATTAAATTTCGTATTTTAACGCAAATAAATTAGGCCATCAGGTGTCATGTTAATTCGTACGAATTAAAATTATGTTCTGCATTAACGTTATGTCTATTATACTTACGCCGATGTTATCGTTAAAATTTCCTTCAAGGCGTTACAAAAATTCTCGTGACATTTGGAGTTTCATAGTCATAGTAAATATTCTATGGTCATAAAACTATTATGTGGAGTATTAAATAAAATGTTATCTATTTACACTTGAATTCTGGGAGATAACATGAGCACGTGATATATGAACAAGAGTGTACGTGACCGCATTATTGGAGAGTATATGTAGTAGTTATAATTTTCTTATTTTTTCCTTTTTGTATTAAATGGAACCAGATGGAATTTTATAATCGAGTATAGTATCTTAGGATCAAGTTAAGCATAAACATTTAATATTAATTTCTTAATAACATTAATGATATTACGCCGTAAAGGAAAGCAAACTCGAAGTTACAAAATATGTAATATATAATTTATTTTTTGTGAAGCAAACTATTAAGTTGCATCATGTTTTCTCATTAAATGTCAGGGCTTACGAATGTTTCGAAAAATACCGGTAAGTAAAAATTGTTTTTTTTTTTCGAAAATGCTCGCTTTAAGTGGAGTAGTTTCACGAGTATAATAGGGATAACCATATAGTCCCAAGTATAAATTGGGGTGAAGATGCTTACGTCGTCTCTTTGAATTCCAAATTGATCAGAATCAGAATCGAAATAATTTCGATTCCAAATAACCAAAATCAAAAGGAAAACATCGTTGAAGTAAATATTATTGAAATAATAACGCTACAAATGTAAGACGACCCATTCGTCTAAGTACTTCTTTTCAAAACTTTAGACGAAAGTTATAAAGAATATCTGAATAGGAAGACAGCTAACGAAATTGTTGAGCCGAACGTGGCTTATCTTAGGTGTTCAAACAGTATCAGTTAGATAAAGTGACATTCGAATCATTTCGAAGTAAGTAATTTTTCTTTAACAAAGTATCATCGATAAAAATATTTCACGTAGACAAAGACTATTTCTGAATTATTTAAATTTTCCTCAGTTTGTAGTGCAAGAGCGCAACAAAAGAGCATTGTACGAATGTTATAAATAGGACATCCTGACCTGATCACTTCTAATGTGACATGTATTAGACGTAGGAACTAAGCTGAAACTCAATCGCGGCTAAGCCTTCGAGTATATTGTGGCGTAGCTAGACGTCGACCTAGAGCTGTTCAGATCCACGTTCTGAAAGGGAGGCCCTTTGGCGCAAGGTTTCGTAAAGCGGTTTTTTATTTAAATATCCTCATAGTCATGAGAACATATACTGAAAGAAAGGGCCTCGCTGATACTACTTCGCCAACACCTCTATGTTCTGTTGACTGAACTGAAAGAGTTTGTTATAAGCTACACACAGTCTACTAATGATAGATCTGGCGTTCTTACATGTCCACTGACCTGGTCCGGGCTGAGCGAGCTGTCGCCGCTTGCGTTCCTCTCCTGGTTCTGCGCCGTGCGCTCCTGTTTGCAGGCCGTGTGGTATTCCAGCCTGGTGCGCTCCACCTTCTGGAGGAGCTTTGCCCAAGGTTTCTGCGCTTTTTTGAATGCTTCGTCCATTTCTTTCCGTTCTTTTAGTTGGATCATTGACTGTAAACAAGACATTACGTTAGTAAATTATGAACTATGTAGAGATATCATTTAACTTTAATGGTTGCTATAGAAAAATTTATGTACAACAAATGTACTACAAAGAATACAAATATCATTATGTACTACAAAGAATACAAATATCGACAACTTTTGAATGGACAATCTAAAATGGCGACTGTGTCAATATAATTAATAAATCTTGTTTGTGAATGTTTTTTTTTTTTACAATAATAAAAGACACAAGTGTTTATATGAGCACAAAAGAAATACAAGAGTTATTATTAAGGGTTTAACAAATTTACACGTTGGGTAAATATTGTTCTTATTTATTTTAATTCATGAAGGAACTCGAGGGCGCTTTTTGTTTACTTAGGACTTATTATCAGCACAGGAAGGCAGAAAGTCCATATTACTCGGTTCAAATGTGTTTCGAAAAATAGATATGGAATCCTACTCAGTAATGAAACTACATTAAAAATTATAAAAATTAAAAAAAAAAAATTTTGCATAAAGAAATAATAACGCCTGAACCGGCTGTAATAAACAACGGAAATACACATTTCTCTGGATAAATATCAAATTTTCTTTAAAAAAAATACAACAACTGCAGTGAGGGTACATTGTTGGGGTTTGTGGGTTCAATGGCTATGCTAATCGAGTTTAGACTAGCCTATGGGCAGGTCCGTGCGGTTGAAGAATCAGACACACCGTTCACCCGTCAAGCGGCAGGGACGGGACGTTATTCAAATAATCATCAATAAATATGACATTTAAATAATAATATGATTAAAAGATACCGTGAAGAAAATAAATTATAGTACAATTTTTTACAAATCCAATTCTAAAAATCTGATTTTAATTTGGGTTTTCTTCAACTTTTTTTCTGTTAACACATGGAAACTAAGCAATATATCTAATTATATTCGTGTTAACTATAATAAATCAAGTTAACTTCGGTTATTTTCATTGATTATAAAAGCAGTTTCAAATGACTTGAATTATATTTAGTTTGTGCCGACGGAATCCCCCAAAATATTGATTTAATTTAGCTCCTCTATGATACATTTAATGTAGAAACTGTCTACTCATTTTAAGCTTAAAATTCAATACATGTTTGCGAAACCTAAGTGAATATGAGCCCATTGTCTAGTTAGTTCAAACACTCATCATAATGTCGCATGCGCTAGCACGTCCGAGCTGTATGTCACACATAATACGATACCCTGAGAGCTAAACTATGGGTATAATATAAGCTTATGAATATTATTTCATACTAAACATATTCAATGTTTGTAGTAAGTAGAAGGAAAACCCTTTGAAACAATGATTTTACACACGCTTTCTCTCCTTCACAGATTATCCTCAAGAGCTGTTAGACCATATAGCGCCAAACACTGGAGATTGTTGTGTGATTCAGAAAGGTAGGCACGGACCGCACAATTATTTATTGTTACTAACTTTGTGAGCGGAAATCTTTAAATATTTAAAATTTATAGTGATCACAATAGACTTTCGCAAAATAACGCCTAATTCTAATTAAAACTGGCCGAAGCGCACTGTTCTATCAGATCGGAATACATATTCTACTTTAGCTGGACGTGACGCAGCCATGCACCAGACGATCGTGACAAAATAGAAGTAACCAATTCGCTATTATATGTATAATCGATCGAAACATTGCACGTACAATATGTGTGAGAGATGCAACATCTGAATACGGATAAAGCTCACTGTGTAGGCACTGGGACCTATTCTAAAAATAAATTATCCAATAGTCGAGCAATAATTGCCTCTGTTTTTACAGATTTTTTAATCTATTTATCGCTTGGTCGAAATACATCGGCATGTTCTTTTTTCATCTCCTTCATCATTGACTTAGTATATAATTTTTTTTGTCGGTTGCTTCACGTAAAAAAACAAGATATGACATTTCACGTCGCCTACGTTACTGTGGCTGAGATACGATATTCACGTGGTTACTAAATGTAATGTGGACATTTTCAAGTATATCGCTTGATTATTTTTCGTTTTTTGCGGACATGGAGTTTATTCATAATGGGCTCACTCTTGATCTCAATCCAGCCAAAAAGCATGAACGAAATCTACGGTAGGACGGGCTTGGCCAGAAGGAACCTATTAACTCTCGCCTTACTAAGTAACTACTACATCTCAACACTAAGAAAAATCTATACCATAAAAAAATAGACCAATAACTTTCAAGCGATCCAATTGCTTCTTATAGAATTAAACCAACACTCTAAGATTTTTATGGTAAGCCCCCGTCTCTATACGAGAGACGACGCGCTCTATCGAATGCAGAGTAGCGCATAGCATGCGGCGTCACGCACGTCATGCATGCAACTCGCAATTATGTGAGATTGTGCAATCAATACCAGTTTGTATTCACGTTAACAGAGCGATACTTCAAGTGATAAAATGTGAATTGGTTTTGTACAGATGCGTTTCTTTTATCATGAACTATAAGCGTAGTATACTTGCGCTACATTGTCAGTGAATACAAGAAGACATTTATAGTAATCTCTGGCATAGCGCTGCCTACAAAGCCCCTAAAAACCCACCACTTGAAAAATTCAGTATTAAAATAAAGCAAAACATATTTTATGTTACAGTATCTACTAGTGTATTACATTTCAACGCATTTCGCTTTTAGGACTGGTTTTCATAAAAGTGGGCCATCATAGAAGTCATTATTTGATTATAGAATTACCAATCCATAGATCGCAGATGTAGGTATGCGATAAGATTTCTTTAACAGCCGCATGCAAAAACCGTAATAAAAACTTAGGTTTAAGAATCATTTCTAAATTAATAGGTTTGAATTGCTCGAGAAATATATATCAAATATTATTATAACCACCATATTAAAGCTAACACTTACAAAATACCATTGAAATTGCCACATTAAAACGAAGTAGTTGAAACTTTGACGAGAGAACGTTTAAAATTAAACTTTGGCAATAGTATATCTACATTTGAAATAGTTTCGATATTTAGAGTGATTTCAAAGCGTTTATCATATCGCAAAAGTATGTAAATTTTTTATAATGAACAAAATAATAGTAGTAATAAGTTTTAACAAAACGAGCGGAATCTTACTTTTATGATTTTTTTGTGTACGAGCTTCTTTTTACTAGCGAACCTCGGGTTAGGGATTAATGAATCAGCTTCATTTTGATAACCCATCTGAACATAGAACTACGAAAGCCGTCTAACCTCTGTAATCGTAGATTGAACGTGCTAAATACTGCCACCGTCTCTTTAAATATTCTAAAAAAGGGAAATCACGAAATCGATACTACTGTTGGTCACCGTTAAATTAGTAAACAAACTTCGATTGCAGCGTCAAGTAACATACAAACTACCTACCTAAACTTTCATATTACGTAATTCCAGTATAGGTATAAAAAATTCGGCGCACATACGGTCTGGTGTGTCATGCACGAGTGTTTAACATTCGATTAGCTAGCACCACAGAACAGACTGTTTGCTCGACTGTGTACGCGCTACGCTGTGCGATCCTTCCGCGTGCCTGCGCTATCGTGCGTTTGCGCAACGCGACACTGAGACTCTTCAAACAAAGTTACGCTTAAGGTTAAATATTTAATTTTGTGTGGTTAACGCTTTACTCTAGAAAAATAGGTTTCATATGGCTTAATGTTACCAAAAGAACCTTGTCAATTATATATTGTTTTAAGCATTTACGTTACGGTCTCATTTAGGAGCATATTACAATGCGTATGAAATATATTTTCTATCACAAACGTGATATATATAATACCGAGCCTGTCATCAAGTACTGATCGGATAGCAATCTGTCAAAGACTGCAATATTTTTTTTATAGTTTGCCAAGAATGAGGAATATCGAATAAGACAATGGATTAGCCCATGGATAGGCGAAAATTAGTAATCGGTTCATATCTAAAAATATTAAAGTTGTAAATACAAAGTGGTCGCAGAAACGTTTTTGAATAAAAGTACCGTTTATATCCCTTCCAGACCAGCATCGAAGACCTAAAAGATAAACCTGAATACCTATAAACTAAACAGTAATGGGGAGGGTACTTGGGGAAAGGTCAAACTCGTTATGGCAATGGCCTGAGTGACCTAAATATTCGGCTAGAGACGCGCCCGAGGAGCAATTTTACAAGTTCAGACGATCATCACCTGGTATTCACGCTAGAGGGAAAATTCTTAAGCACCACTTTATAATTTTGGTTTTAAATGTAAGATATTATTCAACATTTATTTAGGGAAGAGATATTATAAATGACTAGCTGTTTTCCTAGGACTTTGCTCGCGTAAATTGTAGCGTATATCAACCGCGTATGATGTAGCTACCCGTAGATAGTCGAAGATTACTCCTTACAAACAAAGTTCACCGCTTTATAGTATAAGAATAAACTATTAAATCATACTTAAGACAGCTATGAACTTTATAACATTGGCATGATTAGCTAATTTTAATTGATGTATCGTTTAATATATGATATATAATATGAAAACTTGTGCATTATGTTTTACTTTATCAATTTCAGTTAATCACCAAACATATTATAGGTTGCCTAGAAGAATTGCCATATAGTAATAGGATGCCTTTGATTTACTCTATCCTTTAAGTAAATTTTCTTGTAAACTGTATATTATGTTGAGAGCAAAAAGGTTATTATAATTAAATGAAAGTTGCATAAACAATCGCTTATTAATTCTGTATTTGTTTCGAGTAACAGGACAATTATAACTGCGAGTTATATTTGTTATGAAGGAAAATGGACCAATGGTACGAGTAGTAGGCAACTGTATAATATTTTCCTATGTTAAACAGCTGCCTACTACTCGTACCAATCTCGGTACATTTAGTAAATGTTGATCACACCATTTGTAGACTGAATTGAATTTTCTATCTAATCGGTACTCGTATTCCATAGTGATAATTTGAAGATGTACCTTCATTAAACGGGTTTGTTTCTATAAACAA